GAGAGAGAGAGCGCTATGGTACCATTGTAATAATGGTCAATGACATTTTTTTTTGTTTTTGCCTGTTCTCACAACCACCATGGATTCGACAAAAGCTTAGTGTCTTCCCTGCAATCCATCTACTATTTGTTCTTTCCATTTTCAATTGATAATTTAAAAAATATAAAAGTGATTATCCGGTTATTTCTTGAATACAATGTGAAAAAAAAGTGAGTTTTGATATTTGAGTTTTGGGCTCAGGTCAAAACTACAAAACGGAGAATGTCATTTTAATTGGTCAGGTTCACAACAAGCATTAGCATAGCTAAGTTAGCCTCTTAGCCACCATAATCATTCCGGACCACAAGCACCATCCAACAAATGGCTGAAGCATCATCGGCTACACTAAAAGTGACACTGTCTATTAAAGTGAAGCATTGCTTTTGGCTTCATGCATTATTATGTCTGACACAGAAGATATGTTTTGCTGAAGTCACTCAGAACCAGTTAGCAAACATTTTGTTTTCCTTCTGCACCAAACTGAACCATTATTCTGGGGCCCTGCCTCTGAACCTGAATCGGACACCCCCCTAACTTGCACCATATTGTGCTTACATTCATGAAAGCATCTCTCCCTAATTTTATTAAAACTGGTGATTGGAGTTCTCATCGCAAATGTCGTAACTCTCTTGTAGATTTATGTTGTTTTTTGGAGTCTTCGTTGCATTGGGATCTCTTTGGACAATAAATAATGAAAACCGAGAGCCCAAAAACTTTCATCTGCTTAATTTTTCTTGAAAGAACTAAGTGGACCATACTTAGAAAAATAATAACCTTGTGAGTCCAAATACTTTTGACCTCCTGAAAATGGATGTGCCATCTCAAAAATGTCTAATTCCAAGATAGTAACTAGTCAGGGTGAAAATCTACACTTTGATACAATTTTGATTGTTTCCTTGTGAATGAATTGTGCCAAATCATAAGAAGTCTGTTATTATTGAAATACTTCTAGACCTACAAATTTGAATTATAGTGTTTTGTTTGCCCCAAAGTTACTTTGCATTTTACTTTACTACATGCATCTCCTCCATTAATTAGCCTTCAGCTAATCAGTCAAAAACCGCTCCTTGAAGATGTCTAATGAACTCAGCCGTGAGTCGCGGGGGTCACCACTGCAGGGATTCACCGTGCTGCTCAGAGGAAGGAATTCGTAGAAATCAAGCTCGGGCTTCTCTGTATGGAATATCCTTAATATGTATCAAGCACACACACGCATACACACCAAGAGATGACAAGCTGATGCGAGTTGACCCCGGGTGAACTGCTCCAACACTGTTGAAGCCTTGGATGGCATCACTACTGGCGTTGGCCTTTTGGCAATGCGGAGGCGGCCTTGGCGCCACATTGCAGGAGCAAACGGCTCAAACGAACACCTTGATCCACATTCTACTCTCTCAGGAGAAGGCGGTCGCAGTGACAGTGTGTCGATATTCATGCTTCATGTGTGCATGTCTGTGAAGACAGCGTCTTCTTTCTCACGGAATTGTGTGCAGTAAGTGTGCGTGTGTGCTTCTTGTGGCCACCACGTATGAATTCAAACATGAGCTAATTGTTCAGGTGAAAACCAAAAGTGTTTCTCTACAACCTTAGATGCAGTCAGAAATATAACTCCGGTAGGACTCTAAGTGAAGAAATATTCTCATATTATTCTCTAGCAAAGATAGAAAAGGATCAAAAAGAAGGAAAAAAAAAGACCAGCTCAGCTGGTTTTCATGCACCCACACGTGGGGCACAGGGAAAAGGTCTGTAGTATTCCAAAGCTGTAGTTGGATGAGCGCGAGTTTTTCATATGGAATAAATGACTTCCAAAGTTTGAGGATCCATTGATCCGGGGACAGTCCCTCATCCTGGCCTCTCTCTCTCGCTCCCCTTGATGTCACCCAGCAGCTTCCTCTCCTCCCAACGTCCCACAATCCTCTGATGCTCGAGGCTGCAGGAGGGAGGCTGACTGGACCGGAGTGCTCAGATGAGGGTGACAGAGAACAAAAAAAAAAAAAAAAGGCAAGAGGCAGCATCGACTTGGACAAAAGCTTCCGTGACTGGAGTAGACGTCCTCTGAAGAGATTGGTCAAAGTGTCTCCTGCGACGCGCTCTTCGCTGTCCTCTGGGCTTATCTGTCCTGCAGCAGCTTGAGGGCCCTCTCGATGTTCATGCGGTGGCCCACCCTCGTGACGCCAAGGTCTATCAGGTCCTCTTTTTGCAAGGAGGGCAGGTGGGCGCCCTCGATTTCATTATCCAGGAAAGCGTCTCTGTGCTCACCCAGGTGAAGGCTCTCCAGCCAGTCGGCCACGTCGTATTTACTCCACAGCTCGACGGGCTTGGAGGCGAAGGGCTTGCCCGAGGCCACCACCGCCTGCATAAGAGTCAGCGGCGACGGCGACCGCGAGCTGCCGCTCCCGCCGCACGACGAGCTCAGACTGTAACCTCCGCCGCTGCCCATGGGCGGGGTGGGCAGGCCGAAGACATCTGTGAGTGTGGGTGACACAGAGGGTGGCAAGGAAGAGCAAGGGGTGAGGGAGGAGGCGGAGTCTGGAGGGCTGCAGGGGTGTGTCTGAGAGGGGAGGCTGCTAGGAGGTGTGGAGGTGAGGGCGGCAGCGGCGGCGGCGGCAGCAGCGTTGTTGCGCATTCCTGAGTCATCTGAGGGGGGCCTGCGGGAGCAGAGAGGAGTTGACAGGTTACCATTGTGACATTTGTGGTGCAAATAAAAAATAAAAAGGAATTTCTGAACTGTACACCTGCTAGTGGCATCTAAAAACTATTGTCCTTTCTGAGTTTTGGATTTTGAGCTTTTCCAATGGTAAAACACAAACCGACAAAAATGGTCGTAGTTTATTAGTCAACTCCATTCACAATTTATAAAACGATTCAAATGTTTCTTATATCAATTTTGACAGGATACACCACCTGAAATGTGGAAGAAAACAGAAAGTGATGAGAAAATAGCAAATAAAACAACCTCTTCTGAATAACAGAAAACAGACTGCATTTGTTGACGCACAAAGATTATGAGCGGGATTATGAGGACGAGGATCAGCAACACATTTTTTTAAATCAGCATACAAATGTAATGCTATTTAAAAAGCGGTAGATGGCAGTGTGTACAAATTCTTTGTTGGACCTAAAAAAAAATTTCACGACGGCATGGCAATTTAAAGCCTTTTAACTTGCTTATAGTAGATGCCTTTGCCATGAAAATATGATCATGATCCAGACTAAATTCCGCTTGACAGGGGCATATTCATTTAACAATGTTGACAATTTAGTAAATGACTGTTCGTGTCGTGTTTATGGCCTCTGATAAGCAAGCGACCACGTCAGGCTGCCTTTTGCCCAAAGTCAGTTCGCATAGTTCCCAGTGACAACAGGATAAACGGTACGTATTGAAAAAAGATGGATGGACGTTTGCTATGGGGTAGAATTGTATTGCATTCAGGCAGTTGCGCTCATTAGTTTGATCATTTCAATTTAGCCAAAAAAGGTAACCACAAGGACCAGCTGTCCAAAGGTAATCTGACTGGATGAGTTATTCGATCAAATTTTGGAAAGGGGTTGTTCAAAAAGGGAAAGCGGGATTCTGAATTGGATCAAACCTTCAGTTTATAATGTTCAAAACAGTTCAGTAGGATCTGGACACCTTTGATAAAAAAAAAAAAAAAGAAAACACCATTATCATGATCCCACCAGGAGTACCTTTGATAAAAAAAATTTAAAAAAGAAAACACCATTATCATGATCCCACCAGGAGGCAGGCATTCGAGGTGCATTTCAGAAAGAAATGTACAGTAGTGTAAATTGAGGGGTTCATAGGTTTGTAGTGGATAATTTAGACTTTACGAATAGGCAAAAGGAGAGATGGAATCCTGAAGAAATGTACAGTAGTGTAAATTGAGGGTTCATAGGTTTGTAGTGGATAAGCTCGACTTTACGAATAGGCAAAAGGAGAGATGGAATCCTTTGAGCGCAGTTTTCATTCTTTCAACATCTGCTCCGCAACTCCCGAACGAACGAGAACACACCCCCTTCCACGAACGAAAACACTTCCTGCTTCTCTTCAGCCAATCAGACGCAAGCAACATAAGAACGTTTCAACAATTATTAAACAGAATATAATTGAGGTAACTATCACATAAAATAACATAATGCTCAAATATAAAATGAAAATAATTAATAATTTAACATAAGCTTACATGTTGCAAAACTTTAAAGCAAAGCATAAAAAATGGTCAAATAACCAATTGGTATCATTTTGTGTGTATAGTTTTTTTTTTTTATATTTGCACATTTGTTGAACTGTTACAGTGATGAAGTAGACAACCTACCAAGTAAGCCTTTCAATGAAGTAAAAATGAAATCAAAATGATCTTGTCTACATGAACTACCCCCCCAAAACAGATTTCAGTGATATATTCCATTTTTCAGTGGCATTCATAACTTTATGTTAATTTCAAAGAAACAACATTATTTAGTTTGTTAACTTTTGGTCATTTGACCCCCCCCCCAACACACACACACAAGACTCCTTCAAAATAACCACAATGTATTTGTTTACATTCGCTCAAATTAGCGTTCATAAACGAAATCATAAATAGAAGCGCATCTCACTTAAAGTGACCCCATGCCAGCTCTTCTACCTGTTCTTGTCATTGCTGGTAGGCCACATTATGAGATGTTGTTACTTACAAAAGTGGCACTAAACATGCTGAAGATGAAGTGTATTAAATTTACACAGTTTGAAAATT